TAATTTCATCAGGAAGAAGGTTAAATGGAGATTTGGTTGCTAAAGCTTTGTCTTGGTCTATTTTCCCTTAACAGCTGTTTCAATATTGTCAGCCTAAATGAAGACACAGAAGCTCCAAAGAGATATGAAAAAATCTACCATTAAGAAAATGAAATTCAAAAAGAGTAATTATGATTCCTTGTATTTAAGTTCAAACAACTGCTTTCAGTAAAGGATAAATAGAGAAGGACTGGTTTAATAAGGCTTCTAATGATAAAAGCCCTGGGAGCTGTTGTTAATTAACCATAAGTATGTTTCTCAGTTTTTTTTTTTAAAGGCAAAGCGTATCTTAAATTGCATTCCCCAAAATACCCTGTTTGTATCCACCCCATTTTGTCATAGCTAGATGATACCTTTTAAAAGGAACATTGGTAAATTAAAAGAGATCCAGAGAGCAGTGATAAGGACCAAATTATATAAAGGACCTAGGATATTTAGTGTGCAGAAGCAAAGATTCACAGGGGAACCCAAATGAGTATTTTTTTCCCTAATGTTTAAAGTGGGGGAAGGGGCACATATTTAAATACCCACAAGATCAGACAGAAACTGTAAATTAATGGTGTGCACTTGGCCTAGTGCATATATATATACCACAGACAAAGCCACAACTCAGTTTCAATTGTTTGCCATTCAAAAATGCCAGCCCAGCATTAATAGAACTTCACATTTTTTAAAGAAAATATAGATTTCTAAAAGAACTCTCAATTTTAAAACGTTAAGTTTTGGTTCCAATGTGAAGATGTAGTTTCCCCACACCAGCAACGAACAATTCTCTGACACCATCTGGGCGTCCTCCATTTCAACTCAATTCTGACACTACCTACCGAAGACAGCATCAGATTCGACAGATTCGACATCAGATGGGCACTTCAGATGCCAATCACTGACCCACCGGCTACAGACTGGATATTCCCAAGACTCCCTCCTTGAAATTGAGATGCCAATTGCAAATCCTGGCTGTTACCTGTACTTCTGAGAGACTTAGCTGTAAATCAGAGATTTCCACAACCCCCTCCTAGGATTTGATTAATTTGCTAGAGCGGCTCACAAAATCCGTTTACTCTCTAGGTCACAGGTTTATTACAGAGTTGTTACAGGATACGAACCAAGAGCCGGATGAAGACATAGGGCAACGTCCTGAACAAAGGTGCGTCTGTCTGCACAGAGTTTGGGGCCTGGCTTAAGGGCACATGGAAGCGCTGTGGTTCATCAACCTGGAACCTCCTCGAACTCCCTCCTTTTGTTCTTTTATGGAGGCTTTATTACTCAGGCATCTCTAATTAACTCGTTGACTATCGATGATTGGTTCAAACTGTAGCGCATTTCCCCTCCCTGGAAAATGGGATGGGACTGAAAGTTCCAACCCTCTATTCTTGGTTGGTTCCTCAGACAACTCCATCCTCAGGAGCTTTCCAAAAGTCATCTCATTAACATAAACCCAGCTGTGGTGGAAAGGGGCTTGTTTTGAATGACAAGACACACATTTCACCTTTATGGCTCTAAAGCAGGTTTTTTTTTTTTCAGGAATTAAGAACAAGAGACCAAATATAACAAAAGACGCTCCCAATTGCTCTTATCATTGAGGAAATTACCAGGGGCATGGGTATTGTGAGTCAGAAAGTGTGGATGAAGACCAAATATACACAAGAAGTATATTTTGGTCATCTGCATGACCAAATATATATTTATTACAAATCACAATATTGCAAACCTTTTATTAATCATCACTACATACTTGAAAAATAGTCACTATTTTTTATTGAATATAGAGATTCATCTCCTTTAGAAGATGGCTTATACGTGGAATAGTTTTACATTAAAAATGAATACTACCCTGGTTGGTGAGACCCAGTAGATTGAGCACCAGCCTGGGAACTGAAAGGTCATCGGTTTGATTCCTGGTCAGGGCACATGCCCAGGCTGTGGTCCAGGGCCCCAGCTAGGGGCATTAAACAACCGATCAATGCTTCGTGCTTTCTCCCTCTCTTCCCCTCTCTCTAAAAATAAAGTTTTAAAAAATGAATCCAAAAGGTAAAATTTTAACGTCTTTGTGAAATATACAGAGTAGACAAAAATATATTCAGCAAAATAATATATTATTAAGTAAATACCATTATACAGCAAACATTACCTTCTCCCCAGAAGCCCTCATGTGCCTCTTTCCAACCACACTTCCTCTTCTCCCTCCTAAAGACAACCATACACCTGACTTGTTTGTCTGAAATGTCTTTCACCTTCTGAAAGGTGGAGGTTATCAAAGCTGCATGTAATATTCTATATTAACTATTTTCTTTCAGCATTTAAAGATATCATGCTGTCTTCTGGTTCGCCGTTGTCTCTATTGTAAAGTTAGCTATTAGTCTTATTGCTGTTGCTTTGAAATGATTTTCTTCCAATATACCCTGTATGACATTCATAAGGCTTCTTGAATCTGACGATGTCTTTCATCAGTTTTGGGAAAATCTCAGCCATTAGATTTTCATATATTACTTCTGTCCAATTCTTTCTCTTCTCTTGCTCTGGGTTTTGAAGTATACAAGTGAAAAATATTAACATTACATATCTTATGTCTTATGCTTTTTTTTTTTTTTGTACCATTCTTTTCTCTCCCTGTGCTTAATTCTAGGCAATTTCTTCACAACATTTCAGCTGTGTCCATCTGCTATAAAATCCATCCAATAAGTTCTTAAATTTATTGTTTAGTTTCAGGATTTTCATTTGATTTTCTTTTACGGTTTTCAATTTTCTGATGAATTTCTTAATCTTAAACATGTTGGGTTTTCTAGAACAGAACCTGAGCTTGGAATTCTTGTGCAGTTGGTCTTATTAAGGAAATGCTCTTAAGATGAAACATGTAAGGGGAGCCGGATGGGGCATGGGAAGATGCTCAAGAGGTTTATTTATGTAACTGAAGTCTTTACCTTGATCCCATAGGTAGGAGCTCTGGAGCACCAATAGCCTCACACAGTTGTCCTCCTTGAGGCAAGGAGTGGGGGGGTGTGACTTAAATACTCCTGGATTAGTCAGTTACTGCGTTCCAAGGAGGATTTGGGGGTGGTACATGCTAACCTCCTAGGGAATTCCAGGAGCGATGACCCACCAACTTAAGTAAATTCTCCTAACACTGGGTATGAGCAGTTAACACTTGGGGATGGGGGTTGGGGTAGAGTTGGAGTGAGTGAATCCACCTAGTAATAGAATCATGGTAGTGCACTACCACCATATTAAGCATGTTTATGGTAAAGTTTGCAGTTGATTATATCTGAATCTGCTGAAGGTCTCTTTCTGTTGTCTATTGTTTCTTTTGGTTTCAATAAATATCTAGTGTCCTTGTATGCTAGTTATTACTGAGTGCCAACAGTATATATAAAAAAAAAATCATGCAATATTTGAGGCCTAGGATTTTTATCTTTCTCCAGAGAGGATGATTGTCTTTGGCAGGCTGCTGAGCACTCGTAGCAGTTATCTCGAATCATTACCTTAATCTAATCGGTGACTGAGGTGATTCAGAGCGAGGCTTTAATTTCACTGATGCCCATTTTTCTGCTCTTACTCTGAGAGTATAGCTTTTTAGAGTCCCTTGGTAGGCCGTTGTGAACGGGCCTGAAACCAGAAAAGTGAGCGTTTGTGCTGCCTGTCACTACCAGAACCAATAAGCAGAGTCAGGGATTGAATCTTTATTGTCACTTTATTCAGATGGCTTGTGATCTGAAAAGATGGCAGGTTATGTACCCTAATGGACCTTTCAAGCCAACCTTTTTACAAGTAGGAAAAAGTGTAGGGAAGGGATATGGAAATCAGGAAAGAGGTTAATCAGATAAAAGCTGCAGTCTGGCAATTTCCCTGGCACCTTTCTTCTGTTGACAGGTGATTTCCTGTCTGGGTCCTGTGTCCCTGGTAGTTTTCTTTATCTGTGTTCGGGGCCATGGAATGTCTTTCCCTGGAACACAGTGGCTCAGATACTATCTTGATTGCTTATGGTCTCTTCTGGAGCACAAATGTTGACTTGCTTGTGGTTTCCTGGGGTCAGGGTGGGCCGCACCTTCAGTTCTGAAACAATAGCTTTTTACATGCATAAACTACTAAGCTTATTATCTATTACCTTAAAGTAAAATTTTCCAACTCTTTAGTGCCCCATCAGGTTCACAACTCTAGAAGAAAGCATAACATTCCAAGATCACTTCTGCAAGTCTTCTCCCTTGTTTAGACCTTGGCCCTGTAAATTCTTCATTACCTAGTTGTTATGAGCTTATCCCCCAAATTCATATGTTGAACTCCTAACCCTCAATACCTCAGATTTTGACTGCATTGGGAGATAGAGCCTTTGAAGAGGTAATTAAGTTAAAATGGAGCCATTGTGAGGGCCCTAATCAAATCTGACTGGTATCCTTAAAAGAAGCAGCAAGTCAGTAGGCATGTTATATAATTTTTTGCATCTCTATGCATGAATGAGATTGACATATATTTTCCTTTCTTTACATACATAGGCATTTGGTACCAAAATTATCCTAGCATAAATAAAGTCAGTTGGGCAGATGTCATTTCCTATTCTCTAGAAGTGTTTGTATAAGACTGCCATTAGAATTTACTGGTGAGTTCATTTAGACCTAGAATGTTCTTTGTAGACTTTAAAAAAAAAAGAATTATGAATTAAATTCCTTTATTAGTTATAGGACTATTTAGATTTCCTATTACTGCATGTGCCAGTTTTGGAAAGCTAGAAAAGAGCTTCTCTTAAGACAGTATTTTATAGAAGCTGCACATTAAAATCATTTGGGACCTGTCCTCAGAGGTTCCAATTTAATCTGGGTATTAGTACTTTGTAAAAAGAAGATTTTTTTTTTAAGTTTAAAAAACATCTCTTTGATTTTTTTGTGGTTTAAATTTTATTCATTTATGTATCATATATTTATGATATATTTTTATTATATATTATATATAAATGAATACAATTACTGGTATATAATCAAAATTTTAATGAAAGATAAACACAGTAAGATTTCTCACTTTCACCCCATCCTCATCTACCTTTCTCTCTCAGTCTCTTAGAAATACCATTTTCATTAGTTTCCCATTAATCTAGCTAGTGCTTTTTATTCAAATATAAGTGCATAATGTGCATTTATACACACACATTCTTGTTCCCCCATCACACAAAAAAGGGAACATATTTTAAACATTGTTCTTTGAATTCATTATCTAATGCTAAGAAATCACCCCAAAATACCCTGGAAGTAGTCATTTATTGTTTTGTCAGTCAGGAATTTAGAAGTGGCTTCGCCAAGCAGTCTGTGCTCAGGATGTCTCATGGGATCACAATCCAATGCCACCTGGGTCCACAGTCATCTGAAGGCTTGAGGAAAATCGACTTTCAGTGTGGCTGTTACATGGTTGGTAAGTTAACCTTGGCAATTTCTGGGAGGCCTCGGTCTCTCCAAAGCTGATACATCCCTAACTTTGAGAAGTCAGGCTCTGCTTAAAGCATCCCTGGCAAATCTTGGTGTCTTACACACCTGTCATGTGCACCTTTGTTCTCCTCAACAGATAATTCTATCCTAGAAGTCATAAAAGCTTAAAAAATATCATTGCTGATGCTTATTATTGCCTGGTATTTTTAAAGTCACACCTGTGTTAATTTGGCTTTAGGATGCTGTGACTTTTGTCCAAACACACACACTGATTGTACAAGGTGCAGTGGGGAGGCGAACATATAGCCTTGTTCCACACAATATCCATGCACTTTCAGCGTCTTTCCACACAGATGAGGTAGGGCTGGGGTTGCAATGTCATGCCTAACCTGGGCTTCAAATCTGGAACCAGCCCATCTGGAAAATGCAAGTGAAACCGCTGAAGCAAGGCTGTGAAAAACAGGAACATTTCCATCCGAGCCAGCTGTTCTCCAAGACAATGTCTTCTTCCTAAACAGAAAAAAACTAGACATCATAATATTGAAAAAATCCACTATATTTAATCCACAAAATTTATGTCTTATGTATGGGTGCCATTCAGGAAATCTGGAATTTAAAAAAAGTTAGAAGAGGTTATTCTTATTAAAGAATTTTCTTAAACTCCAAAGAATAGAGGATGGCTTTTCATCTTCCAGAACCCATTCCTTCACCTTCTTTTGTCAAATCATGGACGTTTGTAAATTTAGTAGTCCTTTTCCCACTTCCCTTGCATGCTGCCAACAATGCCTAAAATATGCTGTGGAAGATCTAATTAGAAGTGTGATATTCTGTTCTACAGATTCAAGAGAAGATAATTTCATTTCAAATAAGTAAAGGTGTACCCTTCCCAAATAAGAGATTCCAGTCCATCTTCCAGGGGTCTTGTGACCTGTATACTTTTTCACCACAGAAGCAGTCTTTTTGGAGATGTATAATAAAGTGGGAGCCAAGAGCACTAGATTCCAATTTCACTTCAAATTATGAGTCATTCCCCTCTCAGGGTCTCAATTTCTCAAGTTACTTGTTACTTACTTTCTTAGCTTTTGGAGTCATGATTCCAAGCCAAAAACCTGCACACACAAAAAGTTTCAGAAGCCAGAACCTTTAACAGTGTCTCTCTAGATACTAAATTAAGACTCATTTTGAGTAGAATTAGCTGTTTATGACCTCTAATTAAACTATTCTTTCCTGTAAGAATCAATGCTATGTTTTCAGAGTTGGAATATGTAATTCTACAACAGAATACTTCAGGTTAAGATGTTACAGTAATGAACCATCACTATGCTTTGTCTTAAAGTTATACCCCATGTGAAAGTTCTCTTACCTAGGGAAAATGGAACCAACGCTTCCTTCTTGGAAAAATACCCACTGTTGTCCAGAAATCGCTCAGGATAGAATATTTCTGGGTCTTTCCAGTACTTTTCATCAAAGTGCACAGAATAAAGATTTGTAATTACTGTTGTGCCTTTAGGGATGGAATAACCACGTACAACTGCATCTTCAGAGGTTGCATGGAAAATCCCTAATGGCACTATATTACAGAATCTTAAAACTTCATGCAAAACTGCCTCAGTATAAGGCATTTTGCATTTGTCGTCCCAAGAAGGCTTCCCACTGGGTCCCATAATTAAATCGATCTCTTTCTGAACTTGTCCTGTCAGAGGAAAAAAGTGTTCAATTTATTACACAATGCTTAAAAAGTAGCATCTAAAGTAATTTCCCTTTGGGATAAAACAAGGGATAACCTATAATAATAAGTCAACAGGATAAGGGTACACCCGGATTCAGATTTTTCATTATCTGGGCATTCTATTTAAATATATATACCATACATTTTGTACTACCAGTAACCAATCAATGCTCTGAGTAACTTTGTTGTGAAAACCAGATTGAAAGTAATAAAAATCAAACAAATCCAGAATTGGAATAACACCTTACTCTTGGCAAGGAAAACAGTAAAGCATAAAACTTGAATTAAAACAACCAGGCTTTTTAGATCCCAGCTCTGCCACTTGCAGTGAATGAGGCTGGGCACGGCAGCCACTCCTCCTTTTCCTTCATTTATAAAGTCGGCATAATAAAACCTATCTCTGAGGTTTTTACATGAATTGAGATAAGAGATTTGAAAACTCTTTATAAAAACTATTAAATATTTTTCTTCTTGGCTAACACAGCAGGAGCTCCTACCTAAAATGCTTTGTACACGGCCAAAGACTCTAAAGCACGTGTGAGTCCTAGATGTAAGTTCAGACCTTCTGATCAAGAGAGTCCTCACCTTGAATGTTCGGATAAAGGGCCATGAAAAGGATTGCCCACCGTAACACATTGGTTGTAGTTTCGGTTCCAGCAATGATGAGTTCACCCACGGAGAAAATTAGGTTTTCTTTGGAAAAAGTAGACGATGGGTCATTTTTACCTCGATCCATCTCATCTAAATAAGCGTCAACAAAATGCTGGGGTAACTGAGGCTTTCTGTTGATGGAAGCTTTTTCAATAAGCCTGGAGAGAAAATCATAGACCACAGCGGCATTTCTAAATAGCTGCTGGTGTTTTCCAAAAGGTAAGATGCCAATCCATGGGAAGGCATTATACAGGAAGACGGAGGCACTGGCTGCGAGTTCCACATTTTCACTAAACAACTCGATCATGTGCTGAAAATCAGTGTCTTCATAAGTGAATCGTTCTCCAAAAATGATCAGATTGGTTATGTTTGAAACAGCATTGGTTATTAATTGTTTAAAATCAAAAGGTCTGCCTTTGTATGTTTCAACAGCATCAATGAAAAATTTGGTTTCTTCTAAAATTTTAGATTCAAAAGACTTTTGGCCGTATCCAAAATAGCGAAAGCTGTTTACAGCTAATCTTCTGTGATCTACCCATCCTCGGCCATATTTGGAATTGAGTAAGCCTGGAAAAAAAAAGGTAAAAAGATTGATCATCCCTACATCCCTGTATCTAATAGCTAGAGAGGCCATGGGGGCGGTGTTGGGGGGAGTTAGTCATTCCTCTCTAAATTGTCTTTCCATAAAATTAAAACTAGACCCAGTAGACAAGCCCTGTTTTCTACTACTCATTAGCCATAAAATATTATAAACATAAAAAACTTGTCTACTATCATCTGGGGGCAGGCAGAAAGGACCTATAATTCTCCCGCCACAAGAAACTAGACAGTCATGGATAATTCAACCTGGGTGAACTAGGCCCAGGTGACTTTATTACCCATCTTTTACTATAAGCCTAATTTACAAAAAAACAAACGACTGCATGTTCTATGGCCAAAATTATATTTTGGACTAAACAAACACCTGAGAATCATATCTCTAAAATTAGAAATTTTCTACCTTAACATATTAGATATTAGCATACAAATTTCCTCCTGTTAAAGGCACATGTTGCCTAAGATAACTCTGGCAGAGGCAAGGGTGGGCTGAACGAGGTGTTAATGTAGTGGAAATACTCAAGCCAAAAAGAGACTACTATGGATGAATGTTTGTGTCCCTACAAAATTCCTATGTTGAAGCCTAACCCCTGATTTCATATTAGGAGGTAGGGCCTTTGGGAGGTAATAGGGACATGAGGGTAGAGTCCTCCTGAATGGGATAAGCACCCGTATAAGAAGGGACAGAAAAGTGGTGATTGCCCTGGGTCATGTGAGGATACAGGAAGAAGGTAGCCTTCTACAAGCCAGGAAGCAGCCTATTTTCAGACATCAGACCTGCTGGTGTCTTGATTTTGACTTCCCAGCCTCCAGCTCTGTGAGAATAAATACCTGTTGTTTAAGCCATTCAGTTTATGGTATTTTTGTTATAGCAGATCAAACTAAGACAGAGGGCAAACATGAAACTCAAACTTATAATGCTGATATTTCTTGTCTTATAATTTCTGAGGTTCCATAGAATACTCTGCTGTTCTGATATGACTGTTGTAATCATTTCCCTTTAAATTAACTATCAAGGGGAAAAAGCATCTTTAGCACATATATTTATGTAGCATGTACTTGATTCAAAATTTCATTAATAATTGGCACATAGGTGCACCTATGATGAAAAATGTCATGTTCTCTTGTCTATATGAGGTACCTATGTAATCTATATTCCAATAATGCTTATGCAACAATATTTTAGTTTGGAGCAGTACAGCAATCTTATATTCCTATATTTCATTCTCTTTGCACACTCCCAGGTAACTATTCATTCAACAAATACTCAACATGTACTTATGGAGCATCTACTATGTTCCAGGCAGTGTTGTGTCACAGATAAAAACAACCAGTGAACAAAAGAGGCAGAAGATCCCTACTCTCATGGCCCTTACATACTAGGCAGGAGAGGCAAATGAATAAATAAATTATACAGCAAGGAAGCAGATATAGGGTTGCTGTCAGGGAAAGCCTCACTGAGCAGGTGACATACGTCAGGACATAGGAGGTGACAGAGCAGGTTGAGCGGCTATCTGGGGAAAGATTGCTGCTGGCAGAGAGAGTAGCTAATCTAAGGCAAAGGCATTGAGATGAGAGCAAGCCCTATGAACACACATACGTATGAGATATATGTACAAGAAGGTACAGAGACTTGTTACAACCCTGCGCTGGCCAAGTTGTAGGCTTTGGGCAACTTTTTCCCCAGCAGTGGGCTAATGTAATGGTAGCTCTGATTTCTCCGTTTCAAGTTCAGTGCATATGTATCTTAAAATAACACATAGTTTTCTACCTATTTTTCTTTAACTGTTTTTTTAAAACTTTAAGTTCAATGATTATTTTATTTTTATCTATAATAAAATAGTCCAAACTTAAATTTAGAGCTTTGAAAAAGATACATATATACATTTTACCCCAAATATTACTCTGATCACACGATTTTTCATTTTCATAATTTATTTAAAGATCTTCTATTATTATTATGGTTAGTTTCTTCTTTTGCCTAATTATTATCTAGAAAACTATTTCAGAGGCTGGAAACTTGAAATTTATTTATATTATTGCTTTCAAGTATCATTATACTCTGGCCTAAGAATTTGCATTAAAAAAAAACTAGTGTTTTCTTTGCATTAGTTTATTTGCTTTGTGAGATAATATAGGGTTAATATTTATTTTTTTCTTTTCAATCAATATCTTTTTAGTCTATCTAATCAAGGTATTATTAAGTTTTTCTTTAAAAGTAAGTGTGAAGCGCCCTGGTTGGTATGGCTCAGTGGATTGAATGTCAGTTTGCAAAACAAAAAGTTGCCAGTTCAGTTCCCAGTCAGGGCACATACCTGGGTTGCAGGCCAGGTCCCCAGTGCGAGAGGCAACATATTGATGTTTCTCTCCCTGTCTTTCTCCCTCTCTCTAAAAATAAAGAAATGAAATCTTTTTTAAAAATTGTTTAAAGGTAAGTATGAAGCTCTCATTCAATGGGAGGATTTTGAGCCCTGGCCTGGGTGGTGCAGTTGATTACAGCATAGTCCCCATACACCAAGGTTTGATTAGTAGTTAAGAAAGGGGGCTTTACCCCTGGCTTGTGTGGCTCAGTGGATTGAGAGCCAGCCTTCAAACCAAAGGATCACCAGTTTGATTCCCAGTCAGGGCACATGCCTGGGTTGTGGGCCAGGTCCCCAGTAAGGGGGTGCGCACCAGAGGCAATCTCACACATTGATGTTTTTCTCTCTCTCTTTCTCCCTCCCTTCCTCACTCTCTAAAAATAAATAAATACAATCTTTTTTTTAAGAAAAAGAAAGGAAGGCTGCTTCAGGTTCTGTAATCTCATAAGCAAAATGACAGTCAAAATGTCACCAAGTAGCCAAGACTGGCTTCAAAATGCACTTTTGATTCAAGTGTGCATGCACATATATGTATTCCTAACTTGTTTCACAAAACCTGTACGTATTGGTATGTGCTAATTATTTAAAACATTATTTACAATATTTATTAGAACTCGATTACAACAGGAGAATTAGCATGTGCAGGTCTAAAATACTGGGGTGGGCAAAAGTAGATTTACAGTTGTTCATATGGAAAGCAATACAATAATTAATAAATAATACAAGAATAAACTGTGTTTTACATACTCACAACTGTAAATCTACTTTTGCCCACCCCTGTAGGACTGTAATGTAACCTAAAAGTCCTCAAATACTAGAGTCTATAGCTTAAATTGATTAATTCTTTCCTGTTAATCAATACAATAGAATCCAAACTCTATGTGCTAAGTTTCCATAAAATAAGAAATGTGATTTAAAATAGTTTAGTAAATCACTAAAAAAGGTGAAAATAAACATACCTCCCATTTTTGTCATCTTCACGAATAAAGGAAGGCATGGTCTGTCTGCAAAAATTTCACTTTGATGAACAAGGCACTCCTTTACTACATCATAGCCATTTAGAACCACACTTGATATACCTCCAAGATCTAAACTGAAGATCTTTGAGAAGAAAAGAAAAACAACATTTAAGTGGCAAAATGTATGGAGACATATAACCATGGAAATTAACAGGTACTAAACCAGCTCTCCGAGGTGTGTTAGTTCCCTGAAAATGCAATGTTTAGAGTGCCTTCTCTCTGCAAGGCATATCAAACACTATGATTTCCTTATGCATTCAATGCCCAAAGACAGTCTTTTAAATGGTATTCTGGAAGGAGTACCAGACTCAGAGGCCTGGGTTCTAATTTTAGCTTTGCCATTAAACATACATAGGACCCTGTGCAGAACCCTTAACCTTTTGGAATATAAAGGTTGTCATAGAAAATACGGTACTTGATTTAGATGCTTTTTTAGGATTCATTCCAACGCAAAATATTCAATGATATCTAGAAACTTATTTGTATTACCAAGATGAGTGGGAAAGCAGCACCATCTACATATTCTTTATTACTCCAGACCTGGGTAGGGAACAGGATTGTCAAAGGCATAAGTGACAACTTTGAAGTATAAACATATTGTAACTAGGCCCATTTGTATTTGGGTCCCTGAATCCCAAGAAGTTAACAAAGAGAGTGCTAAGGGAATATGACCTGGGAAGAAAGACATTATCAATATAACAAAAATTCAACTCAGTAAATTTGAAGATCTAATTGACTTTATTGAGTGATTCATGAATTGAACAGTATCCCATCTAGCAAGCAGAAAGCAGCTCCAAAGATCTGAAGAAAAGGAAAGATTTTTAAAGGCAGAGAGGAGGTGAAAAAAAAAATTGTTTCAGGCAAAGTCACTATCCTAGGGATAACAAAGAAGTCTATCTAGTACATTATCTAACTAGTGTTGAACAGGTAATTTCATGTTGACTAGTCCAAGGTTACATTCCTAGAGGAGGCTGAAACTGCAGACTCTTACAATACCATGGGTTAATTGCCAATAACAGAGGAATGTGAAAAATGCTGTTGATGAAAACTGATAAGTGCCACATAACTTTTCACCTTTACTTGGGCTGTTCTCTTATTTAGAATGCTCCCTTGACTGCCACAATGTCCAAACCATCCCAAGTCTTTAGGGACCATCCTCCATGAACCTTTCTTGGTGCACTCTCTCCCTCTCCTTTGAGCCATCAGAGCACATGCGTAGGAGCTCCCAAAGCACTTATTTAATACTACCTTGAACCAAAAACATTCATATTTTTTTAAAAGATTTCATTTATTTTTAGAGAGAAGGAAAGGGAGAGAGAAAGAGAAGAAGAGAAACATCTATGCACGAAGAGATAAGATTGATTGGTTGCCTCTTGCACACCCCCAACTGGGGACCTGCCCTGCAACCCAGGCAGGTGCCCTGACTGGGAATTGAACCAGCCACCTTTTGGTTTGCAGGCCAGCGATAAATCCACTGAGCCACACCAGCCAGGACCAGAAACACTCACATTCTTGTCTTCTGTTCACCTGCTAAAGTAAAAGTGCCTTAGAATAAATGATTTTAAGTCTTTCATCTTTGAACCTTCCATAGAACCTTGTTCAGTGCCTTGCATTAAGGTCTCAATAAATGGTTACTATATAATATTGTAAATAAATTAATAAGTTTTCAACTCCATTTGCCTTGAAGTAATTATTTTATTGCCTTGTGTGTATCACCTGAAAATAATCTGCAAAATATATTTGTTTACCACTTTACTAGGTAGGGAATGCTTCTCAAAATGTGAATTAAGATTAAAGTCATTGCAGAAGCTTATACATTCGGAGTGAATCTCCAAGGAAATGGTAATTCATGATGGGGTACATTTCTATTTCAGACTGCCTTTAAAATGAATGTATAAGATCTGAGGACTGGTTGTCTTCCTTTCAAGAATTATAAAGGAGAATTGAATTCACAGACTTCATAAAAGTAGATGTCACTCGAAGTGACTGTCATTTCTCATAAGCAATTTTCAAGTCCAGGTTTTTTTATGCGAGCCCACATCTCCAAATTATAAAGTCAGATAGTGCAAAAATAAGATTCCATCTACAAAAAAGCCCTTTAAGCAACTTTTCTACAATCTTCCAGTAGTACAGGAGATAATAGTCTCCTCTCACTTCCAAAAAAGGTATAGTATGAATATTATACCTGTAATAGTGTATTAACAACTTACACTAACTTTGAGACTTTGTGAGAATTGGGAAACACCTCTAAAATAATGGGAGACCTTTAGGGATATTTCACAACTAAGATAAGGGTCAAATGCTGCTGTAGTTTATGGAATTAATGTTAGGTGGTATTTAAGTCTAAGGCAGAGCCAGGCAAACAGTGTCTACATCTTTTTCATTTTTGTTTCTTTTTCTTTTCCTTCTACTCCTCTTGCCTATTGAAAAAAGTTTGATTTTATCACCTCCAGTAGAGAGCCCTCTTTGTAAAAAACCATGATGTCCTAAAATAGCAGGACCAGCAAAAAACAAAACAAACAAAAAAAACAATGGTTCACTCATGCCAAATTCTTAAATCCATTGACCCAAATCTACCTGTCCCAAGATAAGTTTTTCAGCATGTTTCTAATTTAATTTGTATTCTATTATGATAGGAGATTTAGATTACTGCCTTCCAGAAAGGAGTGTTCATTGAAAAAACTGTATTCCTTTCAGTTCAAATATTTATATATAAAAAAACACATTCCTATTCTGCAAGACACCATTTCACAAAATTGATTTAAAAATACATTTGAATTTGTAGGCCTAATAAATTGTTCCATAATTGTTCACCAAGAACATCAGAGTAGCACTTACCTGTTCTCAGTTATTCTTATTACATATACAAGTAAATAAAAAGATTCAAAGACGGAACGGTCAAATTTTTCTAATGAGAGAGAATCAACCTCTACCTCATGCTCTCACATCTAATAACTTCTCTAGAATATTATGATGCTTTGTGCTAACCCAACAGAAATAAACTATATCAAATGGAAATACACTCAAATCTTGGAGAATTTGAGAGTGAAAAAAATCTGAAGAATTTTATGTTTGCTTTTCCTAAAGTCAGCTACCCAAGAGCGATATAAAACTATTAGTGAGCTGCAGAAACCTAGATTAATTCTTGCAAAACCTTAAAGATTTAAGCCCCAACCTGAAACACAGTTGCCAAACAGCCCTGCCTTACTGTTCTTCAAAGCACTCACCACAGCCTGTGGTCGACAATTACATCGATTTTCTCCCTCCATCTCCTCTCCATCCCTAGCACCTGACAAGTCTGCTTTGTTGCTGCACGTAAATGAATGGACTCAGAGCAAAGCAGGTGAGCTCGGTCGGTCGGGGCCAGTGCTCTGAAACTGCTGCCTCCTTCTGAGGTCGGGCGCCCTTCCAAACACCCGGCGCTTTTCCCTGCTAGTCCGCAGCGGGAGGCTGTCCTTCACCTGGGGCGCTCTGAGTGTAAAGGAGTCCACGTAGGGAGGGAGGCTGGCCCGCAGCAGGGGCAGTGTCAAGGTTTGCTATGAGGATGCGGCTGGCCTGTCAACACGGCACTGCTCACCCTGCGCTGTAGGACTCCGCACCCATTTGTCGTCATTCCTTCATTCATTCATTCTTTCACAATTATTCACCGGAGCCCACATCTCTGAGTCAGGGCCTTCCCGGATCCTTGCTAATCCTTACAGCAAAGGCCTAGGCCAGCTGTGCTCAAAAGCAAACATCCAAGAGCCTCCTGCTACCTATTCACTCAGTCCTAGAATTCGGAGGCCTACTTTGCAGGGAAGCTTTGGGTTGTAACCTGGGCCCAAACTCATTCCAGGGCAGTCTGTACGCCCACTGCGTAGGCGCGGGAGCACGACCTGGGCGGCTTAGCGGACTGACGGATGTGGGTTTCTGTCCTAGCACCGGCTACCCGGGAGAGTGGTATCGACAGGTCTGGGCAGAAGCCACCGTCGGCCCACCCGGGAGGAAGGCCCGGGCCCTCCCTGCCCACGGCCCGTCGGGCTGTACCTCGCCGTACACCTGGCTCTGCTTTCTCATGTAGACATGGGGTAGTTCGGCTGAGGCGGCCAGCGAGTAGATGTTGCCGATGAATGGCAGCCCCAGCGGACCCGGGGGGAACCCCGACGGCCGCCTCTGCTTCATCAGCTGGCGGACGCCCAGCGCGAAGAGCAGCAGGAAAAGCGCGCCGCCCAGCGCCGCCGCGCATGCCTCAGCTCCGCGAGGTTCCCACATGGCCGGGGCCTAGGGCCTGTGAACCCCCGCCGCCGCGGGACTGGTCTCGCCCCCTACTCTGCCGCCCCCCATTGGCCCGCTACGCTGAGGTCCCGCCCCAGGTCCAGGGCCATTGGCCCCTCGGGTCAGTTACCTCTCTCTTTCCTGGCTCCGAGTTCGCTGTGTGGAGGTGGGTGCGGCCAGCTGGCTCCGGGCAAGGACCGACCCCGCTGGCTCTGATCCTGGCGGCTCTTTACAGGGTGTTTACAGCAGGGCGTTGAGGACTAGTCGGTCAGTTTAACCTCCCTCACTGGGCTAGGAAAACCCTGCCTCCTTTGCGAACGGCCTCTACTGAGGGCCTTCGTAGGAACCAGATCTGCGTATTTCAAACTAGAAAAACTGGAGAGCTTATCAACACTGCAGACTTTAACTGGACCTGATAATCTTTAGACTCTCCATTAGAGAATTGATCTAACAGTATAAAAAAAATGTAATCGTACTACTCATCTGTTCTTTCCTCCTGTTTCGAGGCATTTTTGTATGTGACTCCGTGAAAACTGATTACACAATGTTTACGTAATATGAGTTAATTACGCATCTTTTCACCCCTTCCTGGTCTTTCCAAACTGGTTACTTCCTGGCAATCACAGAGGATTCTCTGGTCTAGAGTTGCCCAGGGGTAGTACTTACTATTCAACCTTTGTACCTCCACTACCTAAAATTAAGCAACTGATTGCCTATTTGCTATTTCTGCGTTTCTGTTTTCTCTTGAGCAGTTCCTTACAACACAGGACCTTCTCCGCATGGGGCTCTTCTAATAGCTGCCCCGAATTGTGATTCAGCAGTGTCAAGACTGTTACGATCCTCATCAGTTTATCAAAGTTCATTCACAGAACAAGTATTCATTGAATGCCTCCTACCATGCAGTGGCATCCTAAGCAATGGAGACACAGAGGTGAAAAGAGCAGCAAAGTCCCCGCCCTCCTAAAATTTGCATTGTGAGAGGGAAGAGGAGTAAGTAGGTAACTAATTTTGAATAATCATAAGCAAATGAAAATCAAAGTGTGTTATACAGAATGCCTGAGCATGGTGAGATAATTTAGCAGGTTAAGAGATGTCAGAAAATGTCTCTTACAGCAGGTGACATTTGAGCTTTGATCAAATATAAGGAAGTGTATTCATTTTCTACTGCTGCTGTAACAAATTACCATGAAAACTGGTTTAAACAACACAAATTTATTATCTTATGGTTCTTAAGCTCACAAGCCCTAAGTGGATCTTCCTGGGTGAAAGTGAGGTGTTGGCATGACTGTGTTCCTTCTAGAGGCTCTAGGGGAACATCAGTTTTCTTGCCTTTCTGAGCTCCTTGAGGCTGCCCACATTCCCTGAGCTGGGTCTCCTCCATTCCTCCATCTTCAAAGTCATCGATGTCAGGCAGAGTCTTTTCACATTGGCTCTCTCCAACTCTTTCTCCTGCCTCTGTCTTACACTTAAAAGCATCCTTGTGATTACATTGGACCCACCTGGATAATTCAGGATATACTCTCCACCTCAAAGTCAGCTGTTCAGCCACCTTAATTCCATCTGACACTTTGTTTCCCCTTGCCAGGAAACCTAACATGTTCACAGGTCTTAAGTGTTAGGACTTGGGCATATGAGCACTGAAGGAAGGCATTATTCTCTCTACTATAGGAGGGAAACGTGAGGAAAATCTGGAGGGAAATATTCCAAAGAGAGCAAAGGCTCCCATATATAAGCAAACCCTTTCCTCTGAGAGTGTTGCCAGTCTCTTGCTTGATGTAAGAAATGTCTAAACCTGTAAGAATATTTTTGAGTTTATTTGAGCCAAGCTGACAGCACTTGCTGGGAAGCAAAATCTTAACAGATTGAGAAAATGCTCCAGAGAATGGCAGTTTTGCACCTTATTTTATTCATTAGAATCAAAGGAGGAGACATAAGGGAGTTACATGAAATCCACTGGCAGTAGATTAGGTTGGTGGGAGAAAGCGAAGTGGAGAAATCTGTGGAATTCGATAAAAAGTAAAACAGACACATGCTTCTTTACATTGGTGAGTATAGGCTAGTTAACAATATTTGCAGCACATAGAGATGGCATGTGGGGAACAAGATAACAATGAGGGGTTCTGTGGTCTCTGCTCTGGTGGGACATTGTGCCCTAAGTGGCCTGGAAAAAGGGGATTACTGTGACATTCCAAAAACATGCCTGTGTCAAGAAAGATGCCAGCCTAGGATGACTACCCACCACGACTCTCCTTTTTTTAGGAAGTTTTAATCATCCTGTATGGTTAGTTTCAGTCTCTGAGTTTGTAAGGCCTCCACGCAGGCCTTCCCTGAGCTGCTCGGGTTTCATATGTGGCCCCTTTGTAGTCTATGCTCTTTGTGTATCTCTGATGCAAATACACTGAAAATGAAGACAGTCCTTTAGTTAACCTTAGCATTTTGCTTTCTAACTGTTTGGAGCTCACTCTGGCATGTGGACATCCCCCAAAATCTGCAGGTATGCTTCAGTGGATCTCCAAGTACGGAATATCAACCTATAGAAACAGGGTATGTTTCAGAGGATTTTCAGCCCTGAGATATCTGCCTATTGCCTATGTATATCTTTAAAGACACCTTAAATTTTTTCTTTTCTTTTTTAGGATAGAGTAATCTTTTATTTTAGACACTTTCACAAAGAGGTTGTCAGTACATAAACTTTCCAGTGGAGAAGAACAAACATGAAAATCAGCTTCCAGCCATTGGCAACTGCTCTGCTTAGGGCCTATGCTCCTCCTTGCCCAAGTGGTCAGGTGGAGGCTTGCACGTCCCCTCCTTTATTAGCTTATTCCACTGCCTCATGATGGGACTCAGTCATTTCATCATTTTCTGCCAAGGTAGACATTCTACGAAATCATCATATTCTATATCTTGTTCGCTTTCTCTGCACAGATACCACTAAGTACACTAAGTCCATGTGTACATTCTATCCATTCTTTTTCAAAAGTGTGGCGCCAAGGTAGAATCTTGTGAGGCTGCTGAGCACTTTGGGTTGTTATCCAGGAGTCTAAGTCAATGCCCAGCCTTTTCTGTATATCAAAGAAAGGCATGGGGTCCTGTCGTGGTGCCCTTGTCTGTTCGCTGGTTGTGGGTACTGGATGATTTCTTAAATTTCTTATTACTTAAGAATCTTCTAGGGAAATGGAAAAATAATGTGAAAGAGTATCGCTAAACTTAGCCCTCAGTGGCTTACCAGAGGCCAGTGGAGATGACCAAAGGTAGATACTGGGACTGCGGGTGGGGCACAATGCCACTGAGGCACCAGCAGCAGAAGACTATCGCCTGTGGGAAGCCAGAGTTCAGCCCTGCCTGCCTTCCCCAATGTCATCAGGATTGCAGTATCTGACCTGGCCACAACTGTTATGCAGTATTGGTTTTCTGTTCAAGGGTGCCCCTCTTCCATCATTTATATTCACAAAGAATTAATTTCCCTTCCAAAAATATCCTGCCATTCATTTAAATGACGGACCATTCCTTCTCTGGCGCTCTCCCCTGGCTGTAGCAGCTGCAGAGAGCTGGAATCCTGACAGCAGGCTAACTGCATGGAACACAGAGGCCTCCTCCCCTCCCCAGGGCCCCTTGGAAGATGGCGGGAGGCGGGTCCTAAGAAATCACTAAAAGTTGCTCAGAACATGGATCCTTCCCTGTCATCATTTATCATGGTCTCTCAGTGCTCTGCAAAGAGAAATAGTTCACTGTATTTGCTGCTAGCATGATAGTGAAAAGTAATATTTGTCTATGGACTTTATCACAACAGGGTTGTTTGGTGGAACAAGAAATAAAGGATTTCACTGTTTCATGCCAGGGATGCTATCTTCAGTATGCAGGGTGGAATAGGTGCCTGGAGAAACGTGAAAACCCAGTGTAGTCCTCTGACATTTCTATGTGCAGGTAGTAATGGTTTCAACAGAAGACAGCATTGCTGGGCTGGATCAAAAGCCTTTTTCTTGGCTTTGGGGAACTGTCCCTGCAGGGTTTATTCTTGGGGAACTGTCCCTGCAGGGTTCATTCTTGAGGAACTGTCCCTGCAGGGTTCATTCAGTGTCAGATGAGAGTGTCTCCAGGGCTCCGTGCCAGTTCGTGGATGGCTGTGACCTGCAAGCCTGGCTTGAGCCTTGGGTGCTGGCCAGGCAGTCCTCCAGCACAAAATGATGCAATGAGCACAAATGTGCCTCCTTTGCACATTCCATTATGGGCACTCACAGTTGGGCCTCACCAGAATGAGAGGACGTGAGAGTCAGAGAAAGTGCCCAGCCGAGCCACGCTGGACTCTGAGGCAAAAGAAGAAAAAAAAAAAAAAATCAACAACCCTGATCTTGGCTTATCGAAAATGCAGTATCTTGTTTATCATGGATTTTGGCATTAATTTTGATGTTAAAGTGTTACATTAGTGTATTATCTTCATTACTGAATTTTTTGGTGCCCCGTTCAATTTGCTCCTGAGGTGAGGTGAATGCCCCACCTGCCTCACTGTAGTCCCATCCCTGGGAGGTAGGGTACCAAAGTCATTACTTGAGAAATCCTTATCATCTTACTGGTCTTACATAGCATTTTAATGACCAAATGCTATGTAAGAGCTGGGAGTGCACACTTTGATTTCCTTGGATCTCCTGAGGACCAGGCACTGAGGTAGGACTGGCAGAGCAGTGGGACCTCTGGGTAGAATCTGAGCAGCTTAATGAAGGTCTTCCTTTGACCACTACGGACGTCCCCACCTTGCCTGAAGTTCAATCTTTTATCAATTAATTAATACGAGTTAAACATCCCCCAAAATAGGCTGAGCTGGAAAATGCAGGCCCTGACGGCAGAAAGTACAGTGATAGGAACTTCCTAAAACTGCACTTACATGTAAATGAGTTTATTTGAATACGTTCTTAGAAGTAGGACAGAATGGGAGGTGTGATGCTTGAATTTTTAGAGGTGGTGGTATGGTGAGGATGATGGTGGTGGGTATGGGGTTTCAA